GGAATGCCAAGAATTTGCTTAGTTTTTAATGGTAACAGGAAAAATCCTTGTTGAATTATTCCCAATACACAAGATCCACACCAGTTCTTAGGTAGTTGTCCGCATGCCATTTTTCCGCAAATTCAGTACATTCCATCTGGGGCTAGCCAAAGGAGACTAGTATTTGTGGGGTCTTTTAGATATGGCATCCCAGATACGTTAGTAAGGGCATAATGATCCATAGTAATGGTTTCGTTGGTTCCAGACCACCATTTACTGTTTTCCCAAGTCCCTGTGCATAGGAGGTCACCTACTGCTATGCAAGATTCTGTTTTGTTCCTTGAGTAACATACATGTCCTACCAAGTTGGAAGTGAGAGTCCAACACCATCTTTCCCACTTGTATAGGTTAAACTATTATTCTCAGACATTTCTAGTATCTTGGTATAATTTAACTCTTGTGCCTCCTATGGCCATTTTTCTCCCATATTTGTTCCACCACACACAAAACAGTTACACACGCTTAAAGTATGGGCAATATCTTCAGCTAACTTAACAAAGGTATTGACTACCTGTCTACTTATTTCAGGAATATTTGTTTTCTCCATTTCCTCATAATATGACCAGAATAATGATTTTTGTTCTGATCTTTTGGTTGCAGTTATAATTTTGACTTCCACCTCTGATATTGGGTCATAGCCATTGGCATCTATTCCTATCCCAAACATTCAGTTTTTTTTCTTTCCCATCTATTTTGTTCCAGGAACCAACTGCCATTCTTGACTGTGAGAGTCACCAAATTACAGTTGTCCCTTCCACAGGAGTCTGCTTTTGTATTATTCTTTTCAAACAAGATGTGTTCCATCTCCTTTGGGTCTTGGGTATGCCACTTAATACATGACCACTACTTACATCTGACCATGGAGACTGCACATCCATCCGGTGGACACAAGTACTTATGGTTTGGGATATAGCTGTGGATATAACCGATCCCTCCGCAACCATATATTGCAGCCCAATAATTAGCTGCCTTACAAACATCAAAGGTGACGCTAAAACTGGAGTGTGGGTTGGATTTCTATTGGGAGATCCCTAATAGTGCCTAGTCCCTAGGGCTCCCTCTTGTTCTATGTGTTCGGATCTGCAAGGCCCAGCTGTCAGGATCAGACTTCGGGTTATAACACTGATCTTGGAACTCTTTTCTACAAACTTTATATGTAGTTCTATTGTATGTACAGGAGCTAGGGGAACTATCTTGGCACCCTTCTGGTTTCATTGTATAATAAATCAAAGTCTTAGTTATCTGGTTTCCTTGTTTTGTAATCTTGATGCAGTTTCGACAACCCTGGTTCTCCTGTGTTTTTGTTCTTTCTTTGTGTGTGTATGTTCCCCATATTAAATAACTGATATTACAAGCTGTAGAATCCTCATATCTTCCACCGTGTGTAGAGAGACAGCTTCCAGGATGTCTCAGCAGGGTTTGTTCACACCGTGTGTTGAGAACCTGTTGCCGGTAGGGTTCGACAGGGTGTATTTCTTGTAAATTTCAACACCAAAGGTTTGTCAGTTTTATCCACCTTGTAAGTTACTGGATCGGCAGGTGCAGCTGCTTTCAATCTACTCCAGTGGATCCAGGACTTTCCCTCCAAAGTTTTCACTGCCAAAGGAGAACACATAACAACAGTACATGGTCCTTTCCATCTTGGGCTCAAGGGGTCTGATTTCCAATGTTTCACCCATACTCTATCTCCTGGTGTGAACCCATGTGTTGCCGTGACCACTGGAGGGGGTTGTTGTTCCATCATATAATGGCGCAAATTTGAAACAGCTAAATTATTAAGCTGTAATTGATGTAACAATTTCTGTTGGTCTATTCCCCCCTTATGAGCCAAGTCTGGCCAGTCCTGACTGTCAAGTTTAAATAGACAAGGGGGACCGCCAAACCTGAGCTCATAAGGACTAAGTTGTAATTTAGTGCAGGGGGCCAGTCTGATTGCATACAAAACCATAGGCAAAACATCTGGCCAATGGAGATGAGTTTCCAAACAAAATTTGGTAATGAGGGTTTTAATTGTGCGATTAGCACATTCCACCCTTCCAGCTGATTGGGGGTGAAAGGCACAGTGAAATCTCTACTTGATTCCTAATGCCTGGGCTAAAGCCTTGTTAATTTGGTGTACAAACTCAGGGTCATTATCTGATGAAATCCTAGAAGGGCAACCAAATCTAGGAATAATTTCTTTTAGAAAGATTCTGGCAACCTGTATAACTTTCTTATTGACAATCGGAAAGGCCTCAATCCACCCTGAATAGGTATCAATTATTACTAACAGGGCTACATATTTCTTACTCCTAGGCATATCAGTAAAATCAACAACGACATAGTCCATTGGAAAATAAGCGACTGGTTGTCGACCAGGTGGTACTATCGGTCCTTGGCGTGCATTGGTTTGGGCACATTGAGAACATACTTGGGCTGTTAGCGAAGAAGCAAAGGGAAGATAGAAAAATCGTTCAAGCTGTTGTAAAAATGCAGTTTTTCCCAGATGATGTTGCTTATGGGCTTGAAAAATAAGGGGGCGGGCAAGCGCCAGAGAAACAGCAATGCGTCCATCAGGAAGGGTGTACCAGCCTTTAACCAGTTTGGCTTGTACATCTTGCTTTAACTTTTGGCTTTCCTCTTTCATATATGTAGGATCAAGTTTTTCTAAGTAAGTGTCTAAATCCATGAACCTGGTGACATCTGACTGGAGAGGGGGGCCTTCTAACGCAGCTCTCTTGGCTTCTTTGTCTGCCTTCCTATTGCCCTGGGTAATAAGGCTTGAGTCTTTTTGATGTCCAGGACAATGGATGATTGCAACTTTAGACAGTAATTGTGCTGCCTTAATAAGTCCTTTAATCAAAGTTGCATATTGGATAATCTTGCCTGTGGAGTCCAAATATCCTCTTTGTAGATCGCTGCATGTGCGTGAATTGTCAAAAATGCATATTTACTGTTCGTATATACATTTAAAATCATTCCTGCAGCTATTTCTAATGCTCGGGTTAAGGCATATAATTCTGCAAATTGTGCACTTGCTTGGCTAGGTAACTGTGCTGACTCTACAGTTGCAGTTTGAGAAACAATTGCATAACCAGAGTATCTAATTCTTTGATCCATAAAGCTAGATCCATCAGTAAACCATTGAAAGTCTGGATTATGTAATGGTTGGTCTGTAAGGTCAGGTCTGCAAGAATATTGTAGTTCTATTGTTTGCATGCAGTTATGCACAGGCATAGTTGAATCTGGTATTGGCATGAGAGTGGCTGGATTGAGAGTTGAGCACTGTTGCAGTGTAACTTGTGGATTCTCTAATAAAAGGGCCTGTATTTTATGCATCCTCTGATTGCTGATCCATAAATGTCCCTTACTGTCAATAATTGTCTGCAGGGCATGACTAGTACAAACAGCCACCGGTGCTGAAAAGGTTAACTTACTTGCCTCCTGTAGTAACAGTATAACTGCTGCTAGAATTTTTAAACATTGTGGCCAACCCTGTGAGGCCATAGCCAGCTGTTTTGACAGATAAGCGACTGGGCGGTTCCAATTTCCCTGCTTTTGGGTAAGGACTCCTAAAGCCACATTCTGTCTCACATCAACATAAAGAGATAACGGCCTAGATATATCAGGTAGTCCTAAAGCTGGTGCTGTAGTAAGAGCCTGTTGAAGGTGTTTCATTGCTAGGGTCTGTTCTCGTTGCCACAAAAGAGGTTCCTTTTCTGGTCCCCTTAAAACTTGGTATAATGGTTTAGCTGTGAGAGCGAAGTTAGGAATCCAAATTCTACAGAAGCTTGTAATTCCCAAAAAGGCTCTAACTTCCTGTTTTGTTTTGGGGATGGGAATCTGTAACACAGCTTGCTTTCTCTGGGGGCCCAGAGTTTTTGTCCTTGTGATAGTTCATAGCCTAAATACATTACAGTCTTTTGAACTAATTGTACTTTTTCTGGATGCTCTGTAGCTACAGTCTTGTAACATTTGAAGCAGTCTGGATGTGTTTTCAAAGCAATCCTCCCTGCTTTGTCCAGTTATCAGAATATCATCTACATATTGAAGGCAACAGTCCTCTTGTCTGACTAACTTCAAATATGCAAGATCTTGGGCTAAAGCTTGACCAAAACACGTAGGTGAATTCTTAAAAACTTGTGGTAGTCTAGTCCAGGTATATTGAGTCTTAACGTGTCTTTGGATTAGCCCATTTAAATGCAAAGATTGGCTGACAATTCTCAGCTAAAGGTGTGGTGAAAAATGCATCCTTTAAGTCCACAACTGAAAACCATTTAGCAGATGCAGGTATTGTACTCAAAAGAATATATGGATTAGGAACAGTTGTGTGTAGGGTTAAGGTCAATTTATTAACAGGGCGGAGATCTTGTGTCGGTCTCCACTGTCTGTCGGGCTTACAAACAGGTAGAATTGCAGTATTCCAGGGTGACTGAATTTTTCTAATGATTTTTGCTATCAAGTATTTTTGGATTAATTCTTGAATGGCAATTGCAGCCTCTGAAGTACAATATCGTTGGGGTATTCTAACAGGATATGCCTGGGGTTTTAGTTCCACCATAACGGGCATGGCATATTTCGCAAATCCAGGGGGGTTATCCTCCGCCCACAGGAGTGGGACATTAAACTGCTGCCATGTATTACCTTCTACTTTCTCTTTTTCTGTCACTATCATCAAACACCATATTTCTTCCACTGGGTGGCGCACTTGCATCAATTGTTTCACATGGTCAAAGGATATTGTTGCTTTCAACTTGGCAAGCAAGTCCCTCCCCAATAATGGAATTGGACAGTCTGGGGCATATAGAAATTGATGTTTAATGATTTTCCTTGTCCCACTTGGCATGATAGGGGTTCCAGGAGTGGTCGGGATTGAGTTTCTCCAGATACTCCCTGAATTTGGATGGTCTGGTTTGATTACTTGCCAATAGATTTATTTAGGACAGATCTGGTGGCTCCCGTGTCAACTAACATCGGGACAATCTGTCCTCCCACCCGCATTTTAACAATGGGCTCCGAGGGTGGGACCATAGAACCCTGTCCTCTTCAGTCTCCCCATTCCATGTCGGCTAGGCCGATCATGTTTTCTTCTCTTTCTTCTATCTGACTGGGATAGGCTGGACGCCCTCTTCCCCTGTAACTTCTCTGGAAAGTCCCTCTAAATCCTCTTCCTCGTCCTCTTTCATGCTGGTGAGATTGTCCCCTAGGTTGGCCATTCCTTCCTGTTTACAGATGGCACATTGGTTGGGTCCAATACATGTCCCCCCCAATGCAGCTGCTAACATTTCAACTTTCTTTTTCTCTTTCTGATCTGATTTATGCTCCTCTTCTTTTTCACAGATATGGAACACCTTTTGTGCTATTTCCATAATCTCTGCTACATTTTTGCCTAATGCCCCTTCTGTGCGCTGTAACTTTTTTCTTATGTCTGGGGCACTTTGGGTGATATATCTTTCAATTAGGAGTGGGCGATTCTGAGCCATCTCCATATCAAGACCTGTGTTTATTTTATAAGTCTCTATCAGTCTGCTGAGAAAAGCAGTTGGTGACTCATATTTTTCTTGCCAAATGCTAGTTACTGCAGCATAATTAACAGGACGAATTGCTGCTTCTCTCTGGGCTTCTGAACACAAAAGCCGATAATTGTGCAACAAAGTTTGGTGCTGTGTATCGTTAGCATTCCAGTTTGGTCTTTCTTCTACTGCATCGGTATTTCTGCTTGCCTGAGAATTCGCTTCTCCTTCGGGGTGTCGGCGGGCAAGTACTTTTAATTTCCATAATCTATATTTTTCTCTTCCTTCCATATCCAATAAAGTAGAAATAAGTTGTTGCATATCATCCCAGGTGAGATTATGCGTCTGAATAATGGTGGAGAATAGGTCTATTATTTCTTGAGGTTTTTCTGAAAATGGTCCAAATTGCTGATGCCAATTAAATAGATCAGTGGTTGTAAAGGGAACATACTGAAGCATTGGAATATTGGTGTTATTTGGTCCAGGGACCAAGACTTCTCTTAGAGGGGCTATCATTTCTTCTGTTTTGACCCCTATTTTACTTCTAGTTCCACTAGAAACTGATATTTTGCTGTTCAAGTCCTGTTCTTTTTTCTGAACAGTTTTATCTTCTTTTATCTTTCTTTCCACACCGGCTTCTGGTTGAAGAGGACCTTCATTTCTTTCAACCGGAGGGGGTAGAATTTGCTGATGTATTCTCCCTTCTTCTCTTCTAGGAACGTAGGGAGGGGGTCTGGCAACTTCCTCCCTGTCTTCCTGGCTCAAAATTTTAGCTTTTGTCTGAGGCTTGGCTTTTTGGTTTGCCAAATATATTTTAGCACATTCTATCTGACACTTTGCTAACCATAGAGGCTTTTCTGCAATATTAATCTGCCATTGGTCTATATAAGGATATTGGTCCCAATGACCACTTCTAGTCACAATTTGATGAACCCGTGCCACGAGTTCGGGATTCACCGATCCCTCTTTGGGCCACCCTACGCCAAAGGTGGTCCATTCAGATTCACAGAATCTTTTTAACATGGCTGGATTTGGTCTTTGGTCCCCATAATCCCTAGAAAAACTCTTTTAAAAATTTCCTAACATGCACTGAAGCGGTGTCTGATCTTTGTCTGGTTCCCCCCCCCATTTCTCCCTAACACACTACCACCGACCTGAGGAGACGGACATTCCAACGGTCACTCTGCAGGAAATGCGATGGTTTAACCACCCACAGAATCCTACCTTTTGAAGACTTAAGGACGCCGCCTTGTCTTCTAGGGGGTGATCAATCCCCTCTTCTGATCCAAAAGAGATCAGGTATCCCCTTTTACAATACTTGCCTGGAGGCGTTCCAGACCCTTCCCAGGATTAAAGACCCGTCTGCTATCCTCGGTGGATCCTTGACTAGAGTGCTTTGCTGGCGGGTGAGTTCCCCTCCCTTCCAGTCGAGGTCTCCCTGTAGACAAAGGCCACGGAGCTGGCTTGGAGGAGTTGTCCTTAGGAGAGGGGCTCTCCACCAGGGCAGTCCATCTGGAAGGTCAACGGCCTGTTGCTAAAAGTCCCATCTGGGGTGCCAGAATTCTTGTAGAAAACGAAAGAGACTTACGAATTCCAGAGGGTGTAGCAGAGAGATTTATTGCGCAAGGTTCAGAAGCAGTAACAACAAGCAATTCTGAACACTGAGGGTGGGTTTAGGCTTCAGCTTTATACTTTTCTTTTCTCAGGAACAAAGGGGCACACATTAGTGATACACATTGTATTTCATTAGGTTAGTTTCTCACAGGCATACAATGGACAGTTATGCTACATACATTGTTTCCAAGTGCAATGCGCATTTGGTTAGTCACAGATTGCTAACACAGCTTTATTCCAGTAATTATGCAGACACATCATTGTTTTAATGATTTTTCATATTATTATTATTATTATTATTCCACATTATTCTATATTATTCTACCTTATTAGGAAGGTGCTGCTTTGGAAAGCCTCAAGGGCAGTGGGGAAGGTCTCAGGGCCAGGCACAGGACGGACCGGCTCTCCCTCTTCCCCTGGTTGGGCTTAGACAGAAATGCAGGTGGTCTTGAACCTGCTCAAGATGGAGCTTTCTGAAGGGTTCAGGACCCTCAGATGGAGGCCATCCTCAACTTAGACCACAAGGAGGATCAGAAGTTCTGTTGCTAAGCAAGGTGGTTGTAAAGTGAGTCATGTCCAGCTTTAGGACATTTTTTGCCACGGTTGTTAAGCAAATCACTACAGTTGTTAAGTGAATAATGTGGTCATTAAGTGAATCTGGCTTCCCCACTGAGTTAGCGGCTGTTGGAAGCCAGCTGGGAAGGCTGCAAGTGACCATCCCACGATCCTGGGATGCGGCCAACTGCCAAGTGCCCAGATTTTAACCCCTGGAACGTGGTGACGATTGTAAGTGCAAAGACCCGTCACGAGTCCCTTTTCTTAACCCCCTTCTAACTTCCAGCGGTCGCTAGAGGAGCGGTTCTGGTGGAGGACAGCCTGTGAATGCCTTTCTCTGGACTCATGACCAGTGGCTGGAGAAAGGCCACTCAGAAGCAGTTTCAGATGCTTTGCAGACCTGCCAGGAAGATGGCTGGGAAAACCACCTGCCCTGGGGAAACTGTCCAGAGACCCGCCAGGCCCTGGGACAGGCCATCCTCAGAGGGGTGGGGGAGGGTAGTCATAGCAGCTTGAGCAGAAAGTGATGTGAGCATGGCAGGACAGGGGCATCAAGGTCTCCATCACCAGACCACCTGCCCCCTAGAGTGGGGCTGTGATGACCAGGGAGAAGCCCGTGGTGGCTTGGCAGCCAGGAACATCTGAACCTCTTTGGATTTCTCTGCCAAAGCATGGACGTTCAACGTCCCCAGGACGAAAGCCTGGAGGCCCCAGGCCCAGCCCTGCAAAGAGACCCAGGAAGGTCTGCTGTGGGGCAGCAGCATGGACGGTCCCTGCAGCCTGATTCATAGAAAGACTCTGACCCTCGGCCATCTCAGCCTTTCCAAGCTGGACACACCGTGGCTAGATAAGCTCCTTCTATTTTGTTGTCAAGGAGCATTGACAGAGTCTTGCCGAACTGAAAGTCCAGCTCTCCTGCCGGGTCCTCTGCATCCCAAGAACTTAGAGAAGGTCCCTCCTGGAGCTCCGCACACTGGGCAGCTGCCAGACTAGGCCCCTTAGTAGCCCTTCCCTAGGCAGCATCCCTGCCCCCTCCCAGGGCCATCCCCACAGGGCACCTGCAAAGAGGAAAGTAATTGCAGCAAACGGCTTTGACCCCTTTGCCCCCCAACCTCCCCCCTTGCAAAAAGGTGAGGTCTTCCTCTGCAGGACTGGCAGCAGCCTCCCCCAGCCGCCGGCCCCACAGAAACTGCAACCCTGGAGGGCTTTGCCTAAAATTGCTGCAAGGCATATTGGATTTCCCTTTGCCTACCTTTGTTTGCATTCAGGTGCAGTTTGTGTACCAAAGAGGGTGTGGCTGTTTGTTTTCCCCTCCTTCCCATTGGCTCTTTTTGGGTCCCCCTGAATTCAGCTCAGGGCTGCTCAGCTTCCAGGTGCCTCTTGCGGTGATGTTGTGGGGAAACCACACTTTGCAGCCATTGTATTATCACATTCCAGTTCTGAGCATTGCCAACAATGAAGCCATAAGGAAGCAATGTGCAGGGGTATACTGGGAGGGGAGGCACAGGGAAGGGGTCAACAAAGTCGAGGTGGCACAGCAGTTAGAGTGCAGTACTGCAGGCCACTTTAGCTGACTGTGTTCAGCAGGTCAGCAGTTCAAATGTCACCGGCTCAAGGTTGACTCAGCCTTCCATCCTTCCGGGGTAGGTAAAATGAGGACCCAGCTTGTTGGGGGCAATGTAAATATATATATACATTGCTTACTGGTGTACACCGCTTAGAGAGTGCTTGCACTTAAAGCGGTATATAAGTCTCATAAATAAATAAATAAAGTCAAGATGGCAGCCACCTTCTCACCATCCAAGCCCCATCTCTTCTTATGCCCCCCCCCCATAGGAAGCAGGTCAAAAGGGAGCAGAGCTTGGACTGGGACGGTTGTAGTCCTCCGTTTTCCCTTTTTGATCCTCTGCAAACACTTTGTGTGGCTCACACAAGGCAAAGTGCATCACACATACCACCTCAACATCTATCTTCCCATTTTGTAAAGGATTTCTTTTTAGTTTTGTAGAAGTTTATTGTAATTTAATTTATAATTTATTGAAGTTTATTTATAATTTAAAATACAAATAGGGATAAAAAGGGAAACAGAAAGAGGAAGGAGTGAGATAAGAAGGGGAGAAACAATGGTGCAATAAAATACAAAATAAAGCCTCAAGTTTTTCCTTTATCTGTATAGCAAATATTAGCAATTTCTATAACAACTATCTAATCTAATATCAAAAACCAAAATCAAAGTTTCATATTCTTTTCTGTTTCCAGCATAGCCATTTTAAAAAAGATTGATACTAAATAATGACAATAATAATAATGATAATAATAATAAAGTTGATCATGTGTAGTATTTATAAAGCCCTCGTGAGACCACACCTGGAATACTGCAACCAATTTTGGTCACCATATCACAAAAAAGATATTGAGAGTTTGGAAAAAGTTCAGAGAAGAGAAACTAAGATGATCAAGGGCCTCGAGACTAAAACATACGAAGAACGGCTGCAGGACTTGGGTTTGGCTAGTCTAAAGAAAAGAAGAAATAGAGGAGACAGGATAGCAATCTTCCAGTATCTGAGGGGCTGCCACAAGGCAGAGGGGGCCAGGTTGTTCACCAAAGCACCAGATGGAAGGACGAGAAACAATGGTTGGAAGCTGATCAAGGAGAGAAGCAATCTGGAATTAAGGAGAAAGTTTCTGACAGTGAGGACAATCAACCAGTGGAACAGCTTGCCTCCAGAAGTTATGGGTGCTCCTTCACTGGAAGTTTTTAAGAAGAGACTGGACAGTCACTTGTCAGGTCCTCCTGCTTGAGCGGGGGGCTGGACTAGTAGACCTCCAAGGTCCCCTCCAGCTGTATTCTATTCTTTAATGGTATTTGCAGTGATTTGGGTGGGAGGTTTTTTTTTTTTTTGAATTTTACCTTTGCAAGCCCAAAACTGTCTTTCTTTGCAAACCTCCAAAGAAAAATACAGATGGTTGGGGAAACATGGTCCAACACTCTTACACATTTGAAGCATGATCCCAGGTTCAATAAACCAAACCTGACACATTTGCAAGGCAGAGAAAGTGAAGGAAACAGAAATATTGTGGCCAGAGGCTTTGTGTACATAAAAAATTCACTGCGGTGAAAGTTATGTGACTGGGGAGGGGAAACATGCAGCGAAACAAGCGCAGAACACCATCTCTCTCTCTCTCTCTCTCTCTCTCTCTCTCTGTGTGTGTGTGTGTGTGTGTGTGTGTGTGTGTGTGTGTGTTGAGAGATGACCAGCCTCTCTCTACTCACCTTCAGCACAGATGCCCTGGTGCCAGGGGCCCTTTCTTCTCTTCCACAATTTCAGTTGCTGCTGTTTCCAGATTCTGCCTCTGTACAGCCAGCTGAATGCAGCTATTTCTTTGAATACTGGTCTGGTGCCTTTTGTTAGGCACAAGATATATACTGCAAAGGGCCCATGGAAATACCGTGTTTTCCCGAAAATAAGACCAGGTCTTTTTTGGGGGGGGGACCAAAAGACCCATTAGGGCAGCGGTTCTCAACCTGTGGGTCGGGATCCCATTTGGGGTCGAACAACCATTTCACGGGGGTCGCCAAACAACGCAGTCCGCCATTTTTTCCCCCTTTCCTTAGCTGTGCTACTCCCTTTTATTCTATTGGCTTTTGAAAGCCAATAGAATAGGCTCTCTTGAATAGAGTCTAATTCTATTGGCTTTCAAAAGCCAATAGAAATTGTCCAGGCTGTCTCTGCCCTGCTGAGCCTGCCAAAAGCCCCATTCTGCAAACGGTGCTGCACCAGTTGAATAGTCGACTTACGACCAGTTGAGTAGTCCTCGACTTACGACCGGTTGGGGGTCGCGGCATTAAAAAGGTTAAGAACCACTGCATTAGGGCTTGTTTTCGGGGGATGTCTGATTTTGAAGCCCATGTCAACCCACTGTCTAGTTGCTTGTTGCCGCAAAGGGGGAGGAGAGTGTCGCACTGGTGCCGCCGTGAGGTGAGGTGAGGCAAGTGGGGGGATGGAGCTGCCCCACATGCCCCACACCCACAGCCAGGCCAGTCTCTACTCGGTGACCTCCCCCCACCCAATGACCTGGCTGCCCACACGCCTCTTCCCTTACTAGTAATCAGCATGGTGCTAATAGTAACTGGTAGCAGGCTCTCAGCATCGTCCCTGGGCCGGTGGTTTTGGCCAATGGCCACCTTCACGGCTCTGCCCACACAGCCATGGGAGAGTTATACCAGCCGCCAACTCTGCTGTGACTCCAGCCGCCAACTCTCCCGCAGAGCCGCGAAGGTGGCCGGCGGCCAAAACCAGTTGCCCAGGGACGATGCAGAGAGCCTACCGCCGGCCTCCAGAGCTGCCGCCATTGAAACCAGAAAATACAAGCAGTGATCGGGCAGCAGGCAGTGCGATGCAGCACTGCAGGACCCAAGCGGCAGGCAGAGGAGGAGGAGGAAGGGGCCACTGCTGGGCAAGTCATCTGCAGGGGGGGGGCGGACCGGGCTGGGCCAGGCGGGGACCAAAGAAAGCCCCTCCAAGGGCGGACGTGGCTGATCTGCAGTGGTGGCGGAGACCTTTCACCCCACTCCCCCCTGGCTCCAGGACGACAGAGGGGGACTGGGAAAGGCGACAGAGCCTCCCCTCTGCCCACCTTCCGTGGCATGGCAGTCCGGCTCGGGAGAGGAGCAAAAGCGAAGAGGCGGGTGGGCAGCCAGTGCTTGAACGGGCAGGGGGAGGTCACCGAGGGGAGAATGGCCTGGCTGCGGGGGCCCCGAGGTAAGCAGGTGTGGGATGCGTGGGGCAGCTCCATCCCCCCCACCTGCCTCGCCTCAACTTGTGGCAGCAGCACTGGTGCGCTGCATGGCCTCCTGCCCCATTGCAAATCATGCTAGGGCTTATTTTCTGGGTGGGTTTTATTTTCGGGGAAACACAGTTTGTATATTTTTGTGTATAGCATAATACAATATAATATTTCACATGTATATACGTATGCATACACACGCACACAATAAAGTAACAGAATAACAGTGTTGGAAGGGACCTTAGAGGTCTACTAGTCCAACTCCTTGCTCAAGCAGGAGACCCTGTACCATTCCAGACAAATGGCTGTCCAGTCTCTTCTTGAAAATCTTCAGTGAGGAAGCCCCGCAACTTCTGGAGACAGGTTATTCCACTGACTAATTGATCTCCCTCCCTCCTCCCCTTCCTTCCTTCCTTCCTTCCTTCCTTCCTTCCTTCCTTCCTTCCTTCCTTCTTCCCTCTCTCCCTCCCTCCTTTGCTCTTCCCATGTTGCAAGTCAGAGCTTTTCATTTATCAGTCATCACAGATGACTGAAGAAAACTCTTTTCTGTTGTCCATCTCAGAGGCTCTTACAGAATGCTTTCTAACCAGATTGCGCAAGTGTAGGCTGGGTTACAGTCACATACACGCAATTGAACAGTGTGGGCACATTTTGGTGAGTGTTATTAACCAGTTGTTAGAAGTAAAGTCTTCATCCTGGTTCATCCAAGCCGGGAATAAGTAAGCAAACATGGCGACTGCTTTGGGAAGAAGGTTACAGTTTACTGCAGAAAGATGGTTCTTCAGGAAAATGCAGAGGAGAGAAGAAGAGAGATTGAGCACATGGGCAGTAGGTTTTATAACCCCCCTAGCCTTTTGTTTGGAATAGTTTCCTGTTCCTGTGGCATGAACCTTGAGGCTGTTTCTGAGTGTTTGTCTAGGCCTTGATATCTGTGGTTTAATTCTATTATCATATCCTGCTTCCCAGGTGATGGGGCTAATGACTCCTAGAGTTTGGGTGGGGTATCTTCTCTTTTGTCTTCTTGATTGCTCTGGCTTCAACTTTCTGATGGTTTTACATTTGCATTTGTATGGGCCTAGCTCTTGCTTGGGGCAGAGAGATAGATTTGGGGCCAGGTTTGGTTTTAAAAAGTCCTTTTGAGGAAAAATATATTTTTCTGCCCTTTTTAATATATCCTTCTGGGAGGGGCTAACTTCCATCACAGTGCAAACAGCTGTTCTTTACAAGCTCCAATCTAGAACCTACAGCACAACATACTCTTCCGACATCCTTGAACTATTTGCAGTAGTCTGGTGCACACTGAGGAGGCAGGGAAATGTTTTTCCAAGGTGAGGTCAATAAATGGAAGAAAGTTGGAAAACAGTTGTTTGACATCTGGAGGGGACTCTACAGTTCTTCTACTATAACTGTACTATTCCTTTTCGTCCCTTTTTGATTTCTTCTCTGGCTTAGCTTTTTTATTTTCCAAGAATAACCGTCCCAAGGTTTCTTCTTGCATTTGTTAAAAGCTTTCCTTCCCTTTGCTGAAGGGCTGAAGTCTGTTTTGTGTTAAGCGGCCTGGAAAATTGGCCTGTGGCTTTGGGCAAGTCTAGCCACAGCTCAGATCTCTCCCCTCCCCTCCCCCTCCCAGATTTTACTCCTTTTTTTTTAAACCAATTCCTTGAATGTTCCTCATCTCCTCAAATCTTCCAATTACCAGACTCCCTCCTTTTGTCCCTTCTAAATGAGGCTTCAGGCCATCAAAATTCTTGCATAAGTTGTAACAAGCCTCCTTTGGTTCCATTGCACACCCTACAATTTTACATTATTGCATCATCCAGATATGAGAACGTTGCAGGAGGAACATGCAACTGAGAGCAGTCTTCTAGTATTTGAGAGGCTGCCACAAGGAGGAGGGAGTCAGTTTATTTTCCAAAGCACCAGAAGGCAGGACAAGAAACAATGGATGGAAACTAATCAAGGAGAGAAGCGACCTAGAACTAAGGAGAAACTTCCTAACAGTGAGGACAATTAACCAGTGGAACAACTGGCCTTGCTTCATCACTCCAGGTTTTAAAGAGACTGGACAGACACTTGTCTGAAATGATATAGGGACTCCTGCTTGAGCAGGGGGCTGGACTAGAAGACCTCCAAGGTTCCTTCAGCTCTATTCTGATTCTGATTATTATTATTTCTACATGGGTAAACCACCTCACCAAGCTGACATTTCCCCATAAAGACACATAAAGGTAAATGCAGTCATATTGGCCCACGGGCAAAATCTGCCACTCAGGGGTGTCCGCAGAGGGATCAAACAAGCCAAGATGGCGGCTACAGGCTACACTCTTGCAATGGAAACCCCAGTCCTATGAGGACCAGGCCGGTGTCTGGATCTTTTCCAGGGCCAGGACCCCAGGACTCATCAGAGAAAGGGGGTTTCTTTCCCCCTGTGTCCCTCTTGAGAAGGGCACCAGGGTTGCAGATATTCTCTTTGGTGGCCAGTGGAGTGGAAAAAGAGGTTGGGGTTGGGGCTGGGCCTAGCCATGCTGGCCATTGTTGGCTTAACAGAATTGGATAGGTCCTGGGTTGGGTCATCTAGTCCAACCCATGCTCAAGCAGGAGAGCATATAATATTCAGACAAATGGTTGTCCACTCTCTTCTTTAAAACCTCTAGTGATGGAGCACCCACAACTTCTGGAGACAAGCCGTTCCACTGGTTAATTGTCCTCACCGTCAGGAAGTTTCTCCTTAGTTCCAGTTTCACCTTAGTTCCGGGTTGCTTCTTTCCTTGAATAGTTTCCGTCGGTTGCTTCTTGTCCTGTCCTCAGGCGCTTTGGAGAATAGGTGGACACCCCCCTTCTTTGTGGCAACCCCTGAGACATTGGAAGGCTGCTCTCCTCTCACCCTTCTTTTTCAGTCCTTCTTTTCACTAGACCAGTCCTACCCAATTCCCGCAACCGTTCTTCGTACGTTTTATCCCCCAGTCCCCCGATCCTCTTTGCAGCTCTTCTCCGCGCTCTTTCCTAGTACAGAGAAGAGCCAAGAGCCTGCTGGGCCACGCTCCTTCCCGGAATCTTCCAACCGATTGAAGGAGAGCAGCGATGGGACAAGAGAGTGCCAGGAATGCAAATGCTCCCAAACTTCTTCCCTCTCCTTGTTGTGCAACAGTCACCATGTTACTACAAAACTAGAAACCACTAATAGGCAGAACAGAAAGGTGAACAACTGAATTTCTCCAGAGGGGACCAGAAGAAAAGTTGGTCGTTTTTTCCATCTCTAATGAGCAGTAATGAATCATGACCGCGTGATTCACTTAACAACCAAGGCAAAAAAAGGGTCACAAGATTTACTTAACAACTGCCTGACTTAGCAATAGCAATTCTGGCGCCAGTTGTGGTCATAAGTTGAGGACTGTCTGGCGCGTTGGTCTTTTTTTTTCGGGAGCTGCTTCTCCGCTTTGCTCTGCGACCCGTGGCTCGAGGGAAGCTGCAGCCGAGCGGCTGCCCCGGCTTGAAGCCGCGCCACAGCGGCCGGGTGGCTCCGGGGAGTGGGGGAGTTGCCGGGGGCGCGTGGAACGGGGGGGGGGCTGCGGCGGAGGGGGGAGAACGCGCGACCACTGGGATGACTCACCCTTGCCGAGCCTGGCAGGGACGCGCCGCTGGTCTTCAGAGGCTCTGCGCATGTGCGCCTGCCCGTGTTTGCATGTGCGCGCGTGTTGCCAAGGCCACGAGTGACTCACTCCTCGGCTGCTGGGAAACCCGTCCTGGCTTTTTTCTTCACGAAGTTGTGAGGATGTTTTGTCTCCTTGAGAACCGGGCTGGCCTATCCCTGGAGGAGGCGGAGGCGGAGGAGGAGGAGACGAGACGGCCCCGAGCCCACCTCTCGCCTCCCAGGGAGGAGGGGCCCCATTGCATCCTCTTCCACGGGATTTTGGAAAAAGCCTCCTGGCAAGTAAAAAGGCAGGGAGAGCAGAAGGCTGCTCTGCCTGCAACTTTTTTAATCTTGCAGAAAGTGCAGTTTATTATTTATTTTGCATTTATTACATTTATTTGCTGCCCATCTCATTTCAAAACAAAATGATGGGAAGAAGCAATGAATGGAAACTAATTAAGGAGAGAAGCAACCTAGAACCAAGGAGAAATTTCCTGACTGTGAGAACAATTAATCAGTGGAACAACTTGCCACCAGAAGTTGTAGGTACTCCACCACTGGAGGCTCCCAAGAAGAGACTGGACAGGCACCTGTCTGAAATGGGATAGGGCAGTGGTGGCGAACCTATGCCACACGTGCCAGAGGTGACACTCAGAGCCCTCTCTGTGGGCACGCATACCACCGCTGCCAGCAGCTTGCGCAGGTCCATTAGGCTGCCGCCGCCCCAGCAGCAGCCCCACCAGGCACAAAGGAGGCAAAGCAGCCAGCTAGCAAGATCGAGTAGAAGTGGTAGAGCACTCCCATACCCAGCAAGCCAAAGGCCACCCCGAGCAGGGAAAGCTGGATCCTCACCGACGCCATGCCCCCCCCCCAGTCCCAGCTAGGACTGCGTGCCTCTCCCCGATCTATGCTGGGCCTCCTGCCCACTGCCCCATCTGCCAGAGACCCCCTGGATCTTCCCCAACCCTGCCCGGCCCCTGCAGGCATCCCCTCCATGGGCAACATCGAGGTGGCCATGCCCACTCCAGCCACGCCCACCCAGTGTGCCGTGACAGCCGCAGCCATGCCCACCCAGTGGGCCACGCCCCCATGCCCTTCCCCTGAGGGCACCACAATGCTGATGCAGCCCTGGCACTTTGCGATAAATAAGTGGGTTTTGGATTGCGGTGTGGGCACTCTGTCTCTAAAAGGTTCGCCATCACTGGTATAGGGTCTCCTGCTCGAGCAGGGGGCTGGACCAGAAGAGGCAAGAGACAGATGAGATGGGGATGGGGTCTTCTTATGCCATCAGCCTCCTGGGGGGGGTGAGCAGCCCAGGCCAGCCAGCAAGGTGAGGTTTTGATACCTTTCGGAAAGCCAAAGGGGAGGGGACAGTTCCCACCTTCAGTGGCAGAGTGTTCCACAGGGACAGGGCCACAGCAGAAAAGGCTCTCCTCCTTGATCTGGTCTGCTTTATTTCCACAGCAGTCTCTTCTGTTGGCACGAGTGGGGTGGGTTTATCCCATCAAGAGCTCTCCTCAGATATTCTCAGCAGCCTACACGTCTTTGACTAGGATGAAGCAAAGGGCTCCACCCATCTCAGCTGGAAGGATGAGCTTTGAGCTGTGAAAGTAGCTGCATCTCTGGGGAGGCTCATGTAGTTGCTTTAAAATGGCTGCCCTGGGATTGCCAATAGGCAGAGAGGCCGGGCACCAGGTAGGCACGGGGAGCCTTCAAAATAGCCATGGTTCACTCTGGAGCCACCTCCCTTCTTTTCTCTCCCCTGCTTGAGAAGCGGGCTGGACTAGACGTTCAAAGTGACGTTCTACTTGGTTAATCCATGTGGGTCCTGGTTGTGTATTGTGAGGGCCTCCAATAAATGGTGGTAACAGAAGAACCGGAGATGAGATTGGGGAAAACTGTGCACTTCTCTGACTGAACCCAATCCAGGCGAAATGGATCGGGAACAAGTGGATGAGAATTACAAGAGAATAAGGAAGAAGCGACTGTGACATTTGGAGGGCTAAGAACGAAGGAGATGCCAGGCGGGATCCGAAGCAGCTCTGCCCTCTTCAAACATGGGCTTGATTATATTTATAAGTAAGGCAGCAAGCATACATAAATGCTCCTATTTCTTCCTGTTTTCCTCAGAAAAACAACCCTGTGAGGTGGACTGGGCTGAGAGAGAGGGACTGGCCCAAGGTCACCCAGCCGGTTTTCATACCAGAGGTGGGATTAGAACTCGCCGTTTCCTGGTGATTTGCCCATAGTCACCCAGCTGGCTTTCATGGCTAAGGCAGGATTAGAACTCACCATCTCTTGGTTTCTCACCTGACACCATCACCACCACGCCTTGCTCTTACGGCAAGGAAGGAGCAGGACCCAAAGGCAGGATTGAGCTGCTTGATTCTGGTAATGGAGATAATTAGAGAAGAGCACTGGGGGGGCTGGGGGGGGGGGGAGAAGCTTTGAAACTGGGAAGATTATCTTTTGATAGAGTCACAAATGGATCGTGGGAAAAACTAGGCCTGGAAGGAAAGGAATTTGAATCACTGCAGAGAGAGGAAGTAGGAGTTCGAAATTAAAATGTATTTAGTATAAATTATTTTAGTTGTTACTGCAATTGGCATCCCAGTCAATTGTCCAAAACATCTAGTCTCCCAACAGAGAACATGTGGAAAGAAGACCTTTGGGAAGAAAACACAGGGATGTAGAAGCTGTTCGGGACAGATTAAAAAAGAATAAAGTTGCAAAATGGATGAAAAACAAAATGTGGGAGGGGGACGAAGTGAAAGACACCATGGATGAGGAAAAAAGGCACATAATGGAATGAATGAGGCAAAGAAGGGAAATGAAGGATATATGTCTTATAGAAAGAGGAAAAGCTGCAAAGAATGGAGTAAAAAAATTCACGGCTTTGGAAAAATGCAAAGAAACAAAGAAAATGCAGAGTGATTTTCCATCAAAATGTAGGGCAAGTCATGGAACAGAGGCACGTTCTGCAAAGTGAACAGAACTAAAAAATGAACGGGATGAAATGATTTGGGCTGAAACCGAAGTGAGGCAAAGTCTGATGGTTGGAAGACTTTGGGGGGGGGGGAAGGGGACCACTTGCTGTGGGACAAGTCGCCGTGGGACAATTTAACAATTCTATTTAATTATTTAAAATAATTTTAAAATTATTTTAATTTTTACCATTCACATTTCAGTCTGTCCTTCCTTTTGCATCCTTTAATGATTCTTTTTCATCATTTCTTTGATATTAGTGTAACTTTTGTCTTGCAAGGAGTTGCCCCACGGTGAGTTGGCCGTGGCAACTTGTCACAGACCCTCCCCAGGGTGAAGTCAAAGGCTTCAGGGGAATCGGCTTGTTATGACCCAGGCAGGCAAGACTGGGCAGGCCTCCAGGGAGTTCTTCATTGCTCTTGGAAAGGGTTAACAAACGAAGGACACTCCACTGACCAGTCAGGCTCCACCCCCAGCCCCCCAAACCACGCCCCTGCACGGCAAAAGCCCAGACAGAAAGCCAGGGCAGTTCTCAGAACCAGGCAAAGGTCCAAGGCAAGGAGCAGTTTTCCAAAAGGGGACAGTGAAACAAGAGGCAAACAGAGTTCACAAACAAGGGCCCACTTCGGTCCCAAAGGCAAAGGGTGCTTCTCAAAACCAGACGGGGTCCAAGCAAGGCAGGTCTGAAGGGAGACTCCCCAGGGCAAGCCGAGAACAGGCCTCACAGCCAAGCAAAAAGCAGCCTTTGGCGCAGATGAAAGCAGTTCTTAAAGCAAGGCGAAAGCAGGCAAAGCCGAGGGAGCGTAATCCGAAAACAAACGCTTGTTCCTGGCAAAAGCCCCCAATCCTCCTAAAGGTTACTCTCCAGGTGAGCCTCCTGGCGCCCTGCGCTGACTCTGCCCTCTCAGCTTCTCTCCACTGGGGGATGGGGCGGGGGAGGCGTTTGCCCTTCTCTGGAGTTCCTCTGCTGCCCTGCCTGCCCTCTCCGTCTCCTCCCCCCTTCCTTGACCAGCCTGCACCCCTTCTTCCTCCCTGCCTACTCTTCCGAGGCCCCAGGGACCCGGGACTGCCTCCTCCTCCTCCTCCTCCTGGCGTTCCTCCTGAGCCATAGGGACTGGATCGGTCCCCCTGCGCCAGCCCGATCCTCCTCCTCCTCCTCCTGAGACTCCGGCTCCGACTGGGCCATGGCCCGGCTTGTTAAGCGTTCCTCTAAAATCCTTTGGTGCAATTTTGGTGAAAAGGGTGGGAAAGATGTTAATTTGGAAAGCTAGGAAGACTGATATTTTTGAAATTGGTATTTATTTATTGAATATTTATAAATATATATTTACAAGTAGTCCTTGAATTACGACCCCAGTTGGAACTAGTACTTCTGTTAAGCTAGGCAGTCGTTAAAGGAGTTATGCCTAATTCTTTTACATTTTTGCCACACTCGTTAAGCAGATCACCGTTGGCCATTAAAGCACACAGTCCTTAAGAGAATCTGGACCCCCTCATTGACTTTGTCAGAAGCTGGCCCGGAAGGTTGCAGATGGCAACCTTGCAACTCCAGAATGTTGCAACCATCATTAAGTTCATGCTAGTCATGACTCAATGCCCACATTTTGGTCACATAACCACAGGGACCCTCTGATAGCTGATGTCCAGGGCCTGCATTCCACAAAGCCTGCAATCCAGATTTGAGAGTTGAGTGATGTATGACAACCCCCCCCCCCATGGCCTGCCTGTTGCCCCTCAGGATCCCTTGATGCACTCCTGGAAGGGAGGGAGGGAGGGAATGGGGGAACCTCAGCTGTGACTTGCAGGCCTCAGCTTCCCAGGCAGGAGAAGAGGGAGGCTGGGCAAAGACCTGGTTGGCCTGGTTCACGTTTCCCCCTACAAAGGGTGTGTGTGTGGGTCTAATAGCAGCCCAGCTGGGCCTTCAAGAGTCCCCAGGATTCCCCACCTGATCTCTCAGAAGACCCTCCACTCCCCTCCCCCAGAGGATCCCTCCCAAGAGGGGTCTCGTCTTTCCAGAGCTGAAGATGCAGGAAGGAAGAGAACAAAAACCCCAGCAGGAAAGTTTCTCTTGGCCTCTGGATTGATGGTCCAGTGTGGAGGCATCCCCTGGGTACGGTCAAAAAAGTCAAAATGGCTGCCATGAAGTTGCAACTGAAGCTCTGCTGTGATACATTTCAAAAAACCGAAATAGCCAAGCGGGGTGGTGGACTCGACTTGGGGGAAGGGGGGGGTCCCTCAGATGGAGCCCAGCCAAAGAAGCCGCGGATCCCCGACGCAGCCGCCGCCGCGTAGCTGCGCTCAAGCCGGGGGGGGGGGTGGAGGGCAACTCCCAGCATTCCCGGCCGGAGGGCACATCCGGGGGGAGAGCAGGCCCGGAGTTCTCCGGCTGGTGGGCCGGAGGCGCCCGGTTGGGCAGCGTCCCTCGGAGGGGCGGGGCCAGCGCCGGCCAGCCCGCCCCGCGCTCCTCCCGAGGTACTTGAGGCGGCGGCAAGGCCGGGAGTGAGTCAGACGCGCCGCTGTCAGCTGGCCATCCCCGGCAAGTCCACGTCGCCGCCGCCGCCATGGAGACCCCCCTCGGGCAGAAGCGCGGTCCCAGCAGCGGGCTCACCTCGACGCCGCGGTCGCCCGCGCGCATTACCCGCCTGCAGGAGAAGGAGGACCTGCAGGAGCTGAACGACCGGCTCGCCGTCTACATCGACAAGGTGCGCTCGCTGGAGTCGGAGAACGCGGGGCTGCGGCTGCGCGTCACCGAGTCGGAGGAGGAGGTCAGCCGCGAGGTGACCGGCATCAAGGCGGCCTACCAGGCCGAGCTGGCCGACGCGCGCAAGACGCTCGACTCGGTGGCCAAGGAGCGCGCGCGGCTCCAGCTGGAGCTCACCAAGGTCCGCGAGGAGTTCAAGGAGCTCGAGGCCAGGTGAGTCCTCCCCTCGCCCGCTGCCATCTGGCCGGCTCGTAAAATGGCAGCCGGCCGGCCCGGCGGCGCTCTGGACTTGGGCGGCGGCCGGCTGGCTCCCGCCGCTCCCCTGCCCGAAGGCCGCCCGCCAGCGCCGCTCGGCCGGTGGGCCGTTGGCGGACAGCGGCCGGACCGGGCGAGCCTTTGGACGCGCTGCCCGCTTGACGGAGGGAGCCCCGGCCTAGGGTGCAGCTCCTCCCCCCTTCCTTGGCTTTCCCGTCGCCTGGCTGGCTCCTCCGCGCCCGCGCTCCCCTCCCGCCGCCGGGCGTGGCGCGGAGCTGGTAGAACTGCCGCCCGTCCGACCCCAAAGCCCGCAAAGCGGGGGGGGGGCTTCGGCAACCTGCACCGCGCCCAGGACGGGGCTGCGCGTGGCCGGCCTTTTGCGGGCAGGGCGTGGCGCGGGGCAGGAATCCCCCTCCGGCCAAGGTGGGGACTCCCCGGCCAGGGAAAGCCCTTAAATCGGGCTTTGGGTCCCGCTTGAGAAGCTGAGGGGCGTCGGTGGGAGACCGAGGGAGAGAAAAAGCACACACCGCGCTCGCAACGGCCGCGCCTCTAGATTGCGCTTCTGGGATTTTATTTCTGACGAGCGGATTCCTTGGCTCGAAAAAGTCCAAAATTCTCTACAGCAGCGGAAAAATTGTAGGAATGTGTGTGTGTGTGTGTGTGTGTGTGTGGTAGACGGATCCCCTCTTCCGTTGCTTGTGGTGTGTTGGAGCATTAGCTTTTTACTCCTTGACCCTGAGGACTAGAAACTTTCACACCTTAAAGAGTTTTAAAACTTTAATTTTACATTTTATTATTTTTAACTGTTTTGTCATTAATGTAGTATATAGATGACAGATTAATAATTTGCTAATAGATTTACTATTTTAAAACTTTTGGGGGCCTGTTTTGCAAGGGATGGGGGTGGGCAACTATGGCCCCTTTATGACCTGTGGACTTCAACTTCCAGAATTCCATAGCTGGCTCGGGAATTCTGGGCATTGAAGTCCACAGATTTTAAAGGGGCCGTAGTTGCCCATTCCTCATCTGCACCCACGTGAGTCAGGAGAACACAGCTATATAACCCCAAACTTCTGTATACAACACAGAAACACCCCCACTCCCCAAATGTGGAACATCCTGTTGAGGACATGTGCAGAGGAGATAAAATTAGATTCCAGTTTAGATTCTAACATTCCTGACCTTAAGTAACCTCCTGATTTGGTCTTCCCACTTTCCAGTGTGATTCTGTAGTTGCAGGTTCTCTAGTTTTGTCTGTTTACTCATAAACAAGTTCTGATTGTTGATGTGCAAATTATTCCTGCCTGCTGCGTGTTCAGCTAAAGCGTCTGCTTGTCAGCCTGCACGGTTATTTAGCTCTTCTTGTAAAGGTTCCTGAGAAATGAGTGTGAAGGTCAAGTGTGCAGATAAATCCACCCCAGGGGTTCAGCTCTCTTTCTGCTACTCCATCTTGCCTGGATCTCTCTGATGTTTGTGGTGCTGGGTGTGACACCCGTGTTCATTTGGCACCTGTAATTAATCATTCTGCAAGGTTATAGGCGTGCCAGTTCCCTCCTTGCTGGGCGATGACACATGGGGTTTGGTATGCTTCTGGCAAGGCTGACTTTGCTTCGACTCTGGAGTACAGTACTCACCTGGATGTCTGGAGTTCACAGCTCAGTTAAATTTCATTTCTGTCTGCTAAAATGGATGAATGTCTTGCGTGCTCAGTCGCCATACTTTGACAAAATGTGTCTTATAACTTTCCATGGGGGTCTGTGTGATTGATGGTTATGCATATGGGTAGTCCTCAACTTACAACTGATGGGTTGGAGATTTTCTAGTCCAAGCCCCCCTCCAGCCCTGTGCAGCTGGTTGGATTGGTGGTTTAAGAGTCCAAAGTTAAAATGCCCCGGAAAAGGTGCTTTATGGCCTGTAAAGCAATTCCAGCTGTTTTAAAATGTTGACTTGCCCCTCCCCTGTGGTCACATGACCACATTTTGGGTGCTTGCCGACCTATCGCATTTACGATCATGGTCATGTGGCAATGATTTCTGGCAAAAAACATTGCTTGGGAAAGTGGATTTGGAATTGCAACCTTTAATTTGCTTCATGACTGCGTGATTCACTTAATGACCTTGTGATCTGCTTCATGAGTACTACAACAATGGGTAAAGAAACCCAGGTCCAGTCATGGGATGCCTTGATTTACAGCAGCACTGACTTTTGACTGATCCCAATTGAGGCCATAAGTCAAGGACTATCTGGATTGCCTCCTGGGAGTGAGCAGAGGCAAATGTATTTAGGGAAAAAGTCACATCCAGGTATGGAGGGGGAGGGGTGTATTTCCTCAGCCCTCCTGGCTTTGTGGTGTCCCAGAAGGACCTGAGCTTTGTAGGCAGAGCAGGGGGAGACTTTCCAGACAGCCTGTTTGTGCCACCCCCAGATTAGCTACTGTTTATTTTTATTGGGCTAGTTACTTTTGTGTCTTTACTCCGAGCTTAACTTTGAGGATTGGATTTCCCTAAACAACAAATAAATATTATGGGCTGCTTTCAGGAACTCCTCAGCACAGATGTAAAAGAGCAGTATTTTTGTGAGTTCAGCAGCGTCCTTTCGGACTAACAAATGTCATTCAAAGCCAGGGTTCGGGTTAAGTTGCCTAAACCTGATTTTTGGTCATAGCACAGCTTTCCTCCTGTGAAAGGTTTGCCTACGAGTCAGCAGGCAAAGTAGTAACTCATTGACTTCAGACTCTGAGGAGACACGCAGGCAGGCAGGGAGGGAGGGAGGGAGGGAGGGAGGGAGGGGAATTCCATGTGTGCATTTGGGCCCTTTGTATGGATAGAAACTCAGCCTCTCCCAAGCTTTGGGGCCGATTGGTGAATCTGAAAGACTCTTGTGGTCTCTTATTTCCTTTTGGGTCATCGTGGTCTTCAAAGATCCAACCTAGAACTAAGGAGAAATTTCCTAACCGTGAGAACAATTGTTCAGTGGAAGGGCTTCCCGCCAGAGGTTGTGGCAACTCCATCACTGGAGGCTTTCAAGGAGAGACTGGACAGCCACTTGTCTGGAATGGAACAGGGTCTCCTGCTTGAGCAGGGGGTTGGACTAGAACAGCGGCCCCCAACCTTTTGGGCACCAGGGACCCGTTCTGTAGAGAGAGGATTTCCGTGGACCGGAGGTGGCGTGGTTTTGCGTGCTCCCTGCTTCCCGCGGATGGGGCTTTGCTTGTTTGCACGGCCCGGTACTGGTCCACGGACTGGAGGTTGGGGAGCCCTGGACTAGAAAACCTCCGACTCTGTTATTCTGTGGAGCTGGTGGAGGTCTCAAATTTTTGGTCCGGAGATGTTATCAGAGTCTCCGGATGAGAGTTTTCACCTGGATAAGCTTTCAAGGATCCTTGATGGCTTCCCGTGGCTTTTCTTGGGGACCATTAATCTTGCTGCCTAGTGACTTTTATCTCAGTTCCCCAGGCTGGGTCCAGAGGCCTACAAAGTGGCTATCTGGTGCAGTGGCAGCTTCCTTCTCCTGTCCTTTGTGACACCCACTCCCTTCTTTGGAAGTCGTCAAATGCTGAAGTCTGGAAACAGACGGCTGCTCTGATGCGCCCCTTGGAAACCAGCAGGTTTGGCTGAGGCTGGAGCAACATGCTTGTGTTTGTTCTTAGGGCTTCCCAAACGGGGGCAGCTTCTCTTCCCTTTAAGAAGATAGATGGGGCTGGTGCTGCCCTCACTGCTAAAAGAGATTCTTCTCCATAGTCTGGAATAATCAAGTTAGTGGTATAAATTGGTCTTTTTGAACCTTGGCAAGGGTAAGATGTGTGGACCTAAGCTCCCAGAATCCCCCAGCCAGCTTTGATGAGAAGGGGAATTCTGGGAGTTGAAGTCCACACATCTTACAGTTGCCAAGATTTAAAAAAACTCCTATAAATACAGTGTGAGAAATTTAAACCCAAAGTTTTGGATTGTTATTCCAAGCCAGTTGGGGGAAAAGCTAGCTTCTTGCAAATGTCTTTTCAGCTTGGCCTCTGTCTTTATCGCTGATAAATTTTCCTCCAGCTTCCTGCCATTTGCTCTTAAGTCCATCCCCTGCAGCCCTTAAAACCCCCTCTGCCCCCCCCCTCCATGTTTTCTTTCTCTTTCTTCCTTAGCCAGTTTTGGAAGGGACAGCTGCAGGCCGAGGCTTTGGGGAGGAGCTGCTGGAGAGGGTTGCTCCCCTCTTATCTTCCCAAGCCATTTGTGGCTGGCATCCTGGATTGTCTCTGCTAGCATTCTTGCAGTGGGCAGTGCCTGGCAGGAGCCATGTAGGACAAAGGTGGGGCTTGACGGAGAGGTATTGGTTTGAGTGCTGAGAAGCCAGAAACATTGAGCGGAATAGGGGTTGAAGACCTCTGAGGTCCCTTCCACCCTTTGATTCCATGTTTTATGAACACTCTTCCAAGCCAGGGGACTCTGCATTCCTCAGTGAGGAGAGAATTTGCTTAGGCTCAAAAATAGTCTTTCTAAGCTTACGTATTGCTGCTCAAAAGAGTCTGAGCTTGCATCAATGGCTATAACTGTCCGCTTCATTCTTGAATCCCTTCCAGAATTGCTGCCAGTCCAGTGCCCTGTTTCTGGGGGTCACTAAGAAGATGCTTCCCAAAGCCACGACTAGGAGTCAGACTTGACCTGGGTGTTGTGTTTTGGGATGATTCAAATGTTCAAAGGTCCTTAATTTTCCACATGTATTCAAACGGCCTTCAACTTTTACAAGGTGCCCTGTCAGCTGCAACTCCCCGCTTCTCTACTTTTGGGGAACCCTAGAAAGATTCCCGAAATGGTTGCTTGGCCTTCTGTTCATGCCAACTGTGCCAGGGCAGGAGCTGGCTCCTAAGAGGTGGAGCAGGCTGTGAGTAGCAAGGCTCGCCCACGTCCAGCCGAGCTCTGAGTTGCCAACTTGGCAGAGGGCTATGGGCTTCCTCCATGTTGAAGGGGAGG